GGGGGTGCAGAGGTGAGTGTGCTGGGAGAGGGTGTGCTCAGGTGGGCAAGTTGTGGGTGTTCAAAGGTGGGTTTGGGGATGTGGGGTGTCCATGGGTGGAGATCTGAGTGTGCATGGGTGTGCGTGGGTATGTTCACGGGGAGCTGGGTGTGCACGGGGTGGGGGGTGCAAAGGTGTTTTTGGGGGTGTGCCTGACCATGCTGTGCCATGCCACCATTCAGTGGGAACACTGTGCTGGGTTAACGATTGGACTCCATGATCTTGACAGTTTCTCCCAACCAAAATGATTCACTGATTTTATATCTGAACCTGATTCTATATCAGGTTCATAAAATCATGGAATCACAGAACTGTTTGGGTTGCACAAGACCTCTCAGATCATGGAGTCCAACCATTGCCCCAGCAATGCCAGGTCCCCACTGACCCATGTCCCTCAGCACCACATCTCCATGGCTTGGAAACCCCTCCAGGGATGGGGACTCCACCACTGCCCTGGGCAGCCTGGCACAGCCCTGCACAACCCTCAAGGGCAAAAAATTGTTCCTCAGGTCCAACCTCAACCTCCCCTGGGGCAACTTGAGACCCTTTCCTCTTGTTCCATCGCTTGAGAGGAGAGGTTTCACCCTCACCTGGCTCCAGCCTCCTGTCAGGGAGCTGTGGAGAGCCAGAAGGTCTCCCCCGAGCCTCCTTTGCTCCAGGCTCAGCACCCCCAGCTCCCTCAGCTGCTCCTCCCCACACTTGGGCTCTAGACCCTTCCCCAGCAGCTTCATTGCCCATCTCTGGCCACACCAGCCTGTTTCAAGCTGTGCCAATCTCTGCCATGCTTTACCACGCCATGCCATCCCCTGTGCCATGCCCCATGTCTGCAGCTGTGTCCCGGCCCGGGCAGCATTCTGGGGGCACACAGGACTCTCCCTGATGGGCTTATTTGTTTTAACGGGGCCGGGGCTCTGGAATCCTCCGGGCAACCGGCGGCGGGTGAAAGGGCTCCCGGTGACAGATCAAATAAATGTGCCACCGACGCCGGGCCGGGAACAATAAACGGGAGGCAGGATCCGGAGGGGAGAAACATCAGGCTGTGACGGGGGAAATTCAATTACCGGCAGCCCTCAGCCCCGTGCCGGGCTCCTAATTCGATTAGGGGCAGCAGCGAGCGGAGGGGGCTCGGCGCGGCCCGGCCGGGGCTTTGTCACCGGGAACAAAGCGGCGG